GGAAATACTTAAAACACTTTGTATGTGATAAAGTATAAAGTATAATGTACTGTTCATCGAACAACCAACGCCCTGCTAACGTTTTTTGTTCCCTATTAGTATGTAAATGGTCTCACAGGGTAATCTAATGATTCGTTATATGAATGTACAGGGTGGCACATTAGTATGGAAAAGCTCAATATATCTGTTATTATAGAAGATATCAAAAAAACTTCATTACAAAAGTTGTAGATCTTTTTAAGCTGCATATTTTAAAATTAGTTACATTTATACAATGTGTCCCGTTTTTCCGTAGTAGATCAAACTTATACTTTTTTAAATAGAACACCCTGTTTTTTATTTAAATATTGAATTAAGTTCGTTTTCAGCTTTCCAAAAATATAATTTTGTATAACGTTATACTGAGTGGTTTAAAAGTTATGACCACTTTTCCACGAAAATCGTACTAAGTTTACCACTCTGTAGCAACTAAATGGATTGAATTGAAAATAAATTTCAGGTTTCACAACATTGCAAATATCCTGAAAATGTACAAAATGTACCATAGTAGTTCAATTCAATTCAATTTTAAGTTCTAATTTTTTTAATTGAAATATCTCGAAAAGTGTTAACTTTAGGTATAGGGAATGGTTATTAAGAATGAAAGTACTTCAAAAATACTTCCTGTTAACGATATAAAATATAGGGTGATCCATTTAAATTAACAGAGAAAATGTTACTTTTGCCTTTGGATCCACCCTGTAAGCAGTATGATTAAAATTAACAAAAAATATTCATTTTGTACATTTTCAGGATATTTGCAATGTTGTGAAACCAGAAATTTATTTTCAAATCAATCCATTTAGTTGCTACAGAGTGGTAAACTTAGTACGATTTTCGTGGAAAAGTGGTCATAACTTTTAAACCACTCAGTATAACGTTATACAAAATTATATTTTTGGAAAGCTGAAAACGAACTTAATTCAATTTTTAAATAAAAAACAGGTTGTTCCATTTAAAAAAGTATAAGTTTGATCTATTACGGAAAAACGGGACACTCTGTATGAATGTAACTAATTTTAAAATATGCAGCTTAAAAAGATCTACAACTTTTGTAATGAAGTTTTTTTGATATCTTCTATAATAACAGATATATTGAGCTTTTCCATACTAATGTGCCACCCTGTATATCAACATGTTTGTTGGAGAGTGTACAGCAGGAAATTTTAACGAATAACGATTTTGGGGAAACTGCAAAAATAATTTTACTGCCGGAATTGCTCCCACAATTCCCGCGTTATTTTTTTTCCTCTAATAAACCCGAAAGACGTCATTCGATTAATGACAAACTGTCTGTTTTTATGGCGATATCTTTTCGAGTGTGATTTCATTTCGACATGTCGAGTTGGCTAATTTTAGACCACCTAGTAGGTTCGTCCTGCGAATAATAATAAAGGTGTTCTATTAAGGTACGAGATATGTTTGTGCGATGAGTCAATTTCTGTTTGCGTTTTATAATTAACGGCTACAGAAACGTGACTTTCGATGGTTTTGCGTCAAAATGTTGTAGTTTTTTTTTTTCGCTGAATCTAATCGAGTGATACGATTTTAGTCGGTGCAGTTTTAGGTGGTTTCTGTAAGGAAAAGTTCTTAAAATAGATTCGTTTTATGCTGAAGAGAGTCTCCATTTGGAAGAGATAAAAGATATAAATAAAAGGCTAATCTGTCGGTTTTGCGGATTCGCTTTATTCGAAAAGGTATATTTAGGAAGATTAGGGAAGGTTTTTTTTTTCAACGAAAAAATAGAGCTTCGGTTTTGGTGTCTTTGATGCTGCTCTAAAGCATTTTTTGCTTCGTTGTTTTAAATGGCGGAGTTCATTAAAAATTAAAAAAAAAACGAGGTTTGTTTGTAGGTGTCTCACACGTTCGAGCGGTGAAAGAATGCTAAAATAAATTATGAATGAAGTTAAACGAGCTAATAAAATTTAGATGTCAGTGATCTATTTATCTTCGAAATAAATTCGCTCTTTTCTGTCGGCGAACGGAATTTTAAAATATATCGCCAACCGTCTTAAGATATATTTAACAGTATTTTTTTGTCTATAAAAAAGTCCTACAAATCTGTATTCGTTTGTGCAATGAATTTTTCAGGTTCCTTTTTTTTATCGTTCTCCCCACTCCGGTTTGTTATTGGTTACCTACAGTGATGTTAAAATTACTTTATAATATGTAATTAATTACAATTACAATTACTTTTGGCAATTTGTAATTAATTGCAATTACAATTACAAAATTTGCGAATATAATTACAATTATAATTCAAGTTGCAATTACAATTACAATTACACTCACAATTACTTTGCTTTGGTGTCAGTTTTAAATAATTATTTAGGGATTTGCAATCGGAATTAAACTTTCCACGTATTGAAAATATTAAATAAGTACTTTTGTGTCCAATGTAATTGAAATGTAATTGTAAAATGTAATTGTAATTGTAACGAAAGGAGTAACTGAATTACAAATGAATTACAATTGAGGATCTTGTAATTAATTACCGCCTCAATTACAATAAAAGTAATTCAATTACTTTTTCAATTACTTGTAATTAATTACTTAACAACACTGTATATCGCCAACCGTCTTAAGATATATTTAACAGTATTTTTTTTGGTCTATAAAAAAAGTCCTACAATTCTGTATTCGTCTGTGTAATGAATTTTTCTGGTTCCTTTTTTTTTATCGTTCTCTCCCCTCCGGTTTGTTATTGGTTACCTCTTTAGTTCATCTATCTGAGATTTTCTGAGATATCTGAGATCGGGAAATCGAAACTCCCTATAAAGATAAGACTTTCAATTTTGGCAACACGAATTTATGTCTAGATAAAATCGATTCGTATAACCAGTGTTGTTAAGTAATTAATTACAAGTAATTGAAAAAGTAATTGAAAAAGTAATTACTTTTATTGTAATTGAGGCGGTAATTAATTACAAGATCCTCAATTGTAATTCATTTGTAATTCAATTACTCCTTTCGTTACAATTACAATTACATTTCAATTACATTGGACACAAAAGTACTTATTTAATATTTTCAATACGTGGAAAGTTTAATTTCGATTGCAAATCCCTAAATAATTATTTAAAACTGACACCAAAGCAAAGTAATTGTGAGTGTAATTGTAATTGCAATTGTAACTTTAATTGTAATTGTAATTACATTCGCAAATTTTGTAATTGTAATTGCAATTAATTACATATAAAGTAATTTTAACATCACTGCATATAACGTATTTTAGCGCCGAAATTTTACTGAAACCGCCCCTGTTCAATCTATAATTAACTTTAAATTTATCACATGCAACCCAACGAACGATGGCGTAATATAGGTTGCCTATATGCATGCGCTAGTTTCGCCTATGTTTTAATCATTTCAAGTTGAATGCATCACTGAAGCGGTATAATGGGGGTTGAATTAAACTTTTTATGGGCTACTAAAAGAGACTATTTGATGGATGCCCGTTTTAACGTCGCTAATGCGATGATATTCTTTCTACAAAATAAGATTGGCATTGAGAAATTTCCAGGATATTGGGGTTGTAAAAAGTGGTTGTTAAACAGACATCGGGTTATTTGGGTTAAGGGGTTTACGAGCTTGCTTTCCAAGCTAATTAAAAGATTTGTTTTTTAGGATTCATTATTACAACCAGTGTTGTTAAGTAATTAATTACAAGTAATTGAAAAAGTAATTGAATTACTTTTATTGTAATTGAGGCGGTAATTAATTACAAAATCCTCAATTGTAATTTATTTGTAATTCAATTACTCCTTTCGTTACAATTACAATTATCTTTTACAATTACATTTTACAATTACATTTCAATTACATTGGACACAAAAGTACTTAATATTTTCAATACGTGGAAAGTTTAATTCCGATTGCAAATCCCTAAATAATTATTTAAAATCAAAGCAAAGTAAAGTAAAGTAATTGTGATTGTAATTACATTCGCAAATTTTGTAATTGTAATTGCAATTAATTACAATTTGCCAAAAGTAATTGTAATTGTAATTAATTACATATTATAAAGTAATTTTAACATCGATTACAACGTTCATAATGTAATTGCGCTAAAATTTATTTTTTTCATAGATAAAAACGATTAGTTTTTAATTAGATTTATTAGTAATAGACACTGATGTTAAAATTACTTTATAATATGTAATTAATTACACTCACAATTACTTTGCTTTGGTGTCTGTTTTAAATAATTATTTAGGGATTTGCAATCGGAATTAAACTTTCCACGTATTGAAAATATTAAATAAGTACTTTTGTTTCCAATGTAATTGAAATGTAATTGTAAAATGTAATTGTAATTGTAACGAACGGAGTAATTGAATTACAAATGAATTACAATTGAGGATCTTGTAATTAATTACCGCCTCAATTACAATGAAAGTAATTCAATTACTTTTTCAATTACTTGTAATTAATTACTTAACAACACTGCTTCTGGGATATAATAAACTGCAACCGGGGAAGTGCGAAAATAATGAACTCTACATTTCTGGCTGATTTTCCAGTAAACTTGAATATTTTTTGTCGTTTAGAATAAAAAGACAATTTGTATTATTATCATCCTCTAAGACTCTAAGTAATCCTCTAAGTAATTCAATTACTTTTTCAATTACTTGTAATTAATTACTTAACAACACTGGTAATAGAGTTTGTTTAAAATCGCCTCGTTTTTTTTATCCCTTCGAATTCCATTTGGACGAATCGCCGCATCCCGAACGAATTGAAACCTCGATTGCCAATAAAAGTTGATAACGGTTCCCCCGACAAAATTTCCTGTCAATTAAATTTAATAAGCTCCAATTTACGACCGGAGAATAAAACTCGCGAAAACCGAAAACACTGATGGAAAAATCGTTGCGACACAAATTGCTCGTCGACAATACGAAAGAAAAACACCTTGGCGTGTTTAATTTGGTTGCGTTAATTTTTTGTTACGCTTTCAGAAAAACATGCAAAAATTGCAAGTGCTCGAGAGACGGCCACGAAATCGTCACCGAACACGGCGCCAGATCCAGGGTGGGATTGATAGCGACCCACGATGCTCTGGACGCCAGATCTCTAGGATATACCTTCGTGCCTCCTGGACTTACCACTGCTCGGCAGGTACTTATACAGTGTGTTATTTATAAGGAATCTACGTCAATTCATCGCGGGACAATTGATCGCGTGACAATTCGTCGCCGACAATTCATCGCTACGACAATTCTTCGCTGCGACAATTCATCGCTACGACAATTCATCGCAACAATTTTTTTTCTTATTTTAGCAGAAAATCTTATACAAGTTTATTCATTGATAATATCACCCATTGTTGAAAGAATTATAACCTTCATAAACTTGAGAAAAGCCGAGTCATTTTGAAAATCAAACACTTTTCAATTAAGTTCTTATTTAGAATTCAATATTACCTATCTTATAAATGCATTAATTCTACCCCACTTTTACATTGTTTTGACTAATTACAGGCTGTGTTTAATAGATATGTAATAGCTCGACCAATAGCAATATGTAATCTACAGGAAATATGAAAATAGAACCAATCAGCTGAACCATTAATTCTCGATATAGGGATTACAGAATCAACAAGAGCAAAAACCTCTCTGTTAATATTTTCTGGGAATGGAATTAAATATCTAAATATGAACTTTATTGAAATCGGAGGAATTCGGTGAATTTTATATTCAAAATTACTTAATTTTTCTGAAGGTTATGAACGTTATAATTCTTTTAAGGGGCGATATTATCAATAAATAATAAACTTTAATAAATAATCAATAGTTATTAAGATTTTCTGCTAAAATAAGAAAAAACGTCGCGATGAATTGTCGTGGCGATGAATTGTCGAGCGAGAAATTGTCCGCGATGAATTGTCGCGCGTTGAATTGTCTCGCGATGTATTGACGTGACACCATTTATAAGATGCGACATAGGGATTCCTGTACAAATGTGTCAAAAGCAAGCTAACTTTTTTACCAAATAACGTTCGTAAAAAATAATGACAGATTTGAAAAGATCGTCAAAAAATAAGTCGAAATGGATATTAAATTTTATTAAATTCGTTCTGGTTTAATAAAAAAATGTATAATTAAGTTGAAAAAAGTCAAACGTCATATGTCACTATCTAATAATTGTTAAGAGAGGCGGAGATATCTGGATTGGTTTACGCGCTGAAGTTTGAAAAAATCAGCGGTAAGGAATCTGGTTCAATCCCACGCAGTGCAAAATTTTTTTTCTTTGGCATTTTTTGTTTTTTTAATGTTTTTTTTGTCAAGAATAAAAATATGGCATTATTTTAAACGCTCTACCTAATAACGAGATTTTGCGTTATTAAAATTGACGCTTACTTGTCGGAGCTTTTATTTAAATAAAAATAAAACTATATCTCAAATAAGCTCGCCTTATTTTAAATATTTCTATTTAACATTTTTTTAGACAAAAATATTAGAAAAAAACCAAAAAAAAAATCGGGGTCTTCATTTTTCTCGGGGAGAAAAATCGGGGTCTTCACTGCTCGGGGATTGAACCACATTACTTCCCGCTAAAATTTTTGAATTTCCGAGCGTAAACCATCCCAGTTAACTCCGCCCATTTTACAATTATTAGATAGTGACATAAAAATGACACATTTGTGACGTTTGACTTTTTTCAACTTAATTATACACTTTTTTAATAAACCAGAACGAATTTAAGAAAATTTAATGCCCATTTCGACATCTTTTTTTACGATCTTTTCAAATCTGTTATTATTTTTTACGAACGTTATTTGGTAAAAAAGTTAGCTTGATTTTGACACTTTTGTACAGGAATCCCTATGTCACATCTTATATTGTATAACGCTCAATAATCGCCCTAAAATTGCCCTAAAATTGCCCTAAAATTACAACAAGAATGCTCCATTCCAGGTTGACCAATACTACTCGACGTTGCCTTCAGAGGATGTCCCGAAACTCGGGTCCAAGGGAGAGATGAACCGTTCCCAAAGAATAGTCAGACAACTGCCCAAGCAAGATTTGGCGCTGTCCGCCTGCAAATTCGTCGAAGCCGAAAATTCTGATAGTTATAAAGTATGTACTTTCATTCGTTCGTTTATTTAGTCATTCTCTCATTTGATAGCGACAAAGAAAGCATCATACTCATTCATTGATTCATTCTTTCAATCTTTCAATCTTTCATTCTTTCAATATTTCAATCTTTCAATCTTTCAATCTTTCAATCTTTCAATCTTTCAATCTTTCAATCTTTCAATCTTTCAATCTTTCAATCTTTCAATCTTTCAATCTTTCAATCTTTCAATCTTTCAATCTTTCAATCTTTCAATCTTTCAATCTTTCAATCTTTCAATCTTTCAATCTTTCAATCTTTCAATCTTTCAATCTTTCAATCTTTCAATCTTTCAATCTTTCAATCTTTCAATCTTTCAATCTTTCAATCTTTCAATCTTTCAATCTTTCAATCTTTCAATCTTTCAATCTTTCAATCTTTCAATCTTTCAATCTTTCAATCTTTCAATCTTTCAATCTTTCAATCTTTCAATCTTTCAATCTTTCAATCTTTCAATCTTTCAATCTTTCAATCTTTCAATCTTTCAATCTTTCAATCTTTCAATCTTTCAATCTTTCAATCTTTCAATCTTTCAATCTTTCAATCTTTCAATCTTTCAATCTTTCAATCTTTCAATCTTCCATTGTATTTTTTTTGCAGGATTTTATAACCGGTAGAAACGACGTAGCCCTGGACGTGGGCGTAGCGAAATTGACGCCGCCGAATAGCAATTGTTCGTATTGTTCGAAGACCATCCACAATCAACAGATAAGCGTCACGGCGCCCAGATTGGGCAAAGCCGTGTGGCATCCTTCCTGCTTTAAGGTAGGTACCAACCGGTCCTGAATGATCGATCGATTTTATACAGTGCATTTATTTAATGTCCCCCCCCCTTTTATTTTTTGAACGAATCAACTTAGAAAATTGAAATTTGGGATAATGAAACTAATGTATGATTACTATATTTTGGAGTAAAATTGTCAAATGAAAATTTCAAGATGGCGACTGAGCACCATATTGAGAAATAAATTTAAATGGAAAGGGGGGTTTTGTGATACATCATTTTGAAGCTCCTGATAAATACTATACAACCCTGGAATATAAAGTCAATATCTGCACCCATTACAAAATGGCGGACATTTAATAATTACCTGAATACATCGACGTTTAACGTCATAATTTGAGAAAATAAGCTGAGTTTAGTACAAAAAGTGCTCGAAATGGTTGCCTTGAACTTCTTGATGTAAGAACAGCCTATCCGAACATTTTCGAACATAGTAACGTCGTTGTTTCTACAAATATCTGTAATTATTTCTCGTATATCCAATATTGAAGCAGGTTCAGTTTCGTACACTTTTTGCTTCAAATAGACCCATAAAAAAAGTCTAAAGGTGTCAAATCTGGCGAGCGGGCTGGCCATTCCGTAGGACCTCGACAACCCATCTAACGACCAGGGAAAATAGCATCCAAATAGTTCATTACTTGTCTGGAGTAATGTGGTGGTGCTCCATCTTCCAATGGACGAGAATTGGCCATTTTAGAGTTAGTTCACGTGCTACCTAACTACAATGAGAACTAAACAACCGAAAACTAAATGAAAATATTTTGAACACTAGGAAAATCGAAAACTAAAGAGAATATTTTGAACACTAAGAAAATTAAAAACTAAATGAGAATATTTTGACTAAACAATTAATGTTTGTTGTCGTACTTAAATTTTTTGGAATTTTTTTAACCAAAAATAACCTGTCAAACCTTATCGGTTTGTTGGGATTGCTATTTGGCATAGAAAAACAAATATTTCTAGAAAATTTAATATTAATTTGTTTGTATTCAGGCAATTATTAAATGTCCGCCATTTTGTAGCAGGTGCAGATATTGACTTTATATTCCAGGGTTGTACACTATTTGTCAGGAGCTTCAAAATGATGCGTCACAAGACCCCCCCTTTCCATTTAAATTTATTTCACAATATGGCGCCCAGTCGCCATCTTGAAATTTTCATCTGTCAATTTTACTCCAAAATATAGTAATCATGCATTAGCTTTATTATCCCAAATATCAATTTTCTAAGTTGATCCGTTCAAAAAATAAAAGGGGGTGGGGACGGGGGACATTAAAGAAATGCACTGTATTTATTTTTTTAAACTTAAATTTTTCCTTTAGTGTACCACTTGCGACGATCTACTGGTGGACCTTGCCTACTGCGTGTATGAGGATAACATTTATTGCGAAAGACATTACGCTGAAAAATTGAAGCCAAGGTGTGCTGGATGCGATGAGGTGAGTACGAAACGTGCATGCTAGTACGCCATTGGCGTACCGGACGGTGGGGATTTTTTCATTAATTATTTTTTAATAAAAATTTTTTGAATGAACACCTGTCGTGTTCACAATTCGAGGAATTAAATTAACGTCCGCGTAGGAGATCTAATCCCAAAGGTGATTTCCCATCAAACACCCACTTACTAATTTCAAGTGCTATATCAAGAAACAATTAGTTTATTTTTATTGATGCGTAACGTACCGGGTGTCCCACCAGAAGAGGTAACCGGCTGTATATCAGAAACTAATTGTCATAGAGACTTGCGGTAAAAAATCTTATGACTAAATTGGCAAAAAGAAAATGCTGGAAATACTTTTTAAGTCTCTAAAATGGCCGCTAGGGGGATTATCCGCCATCTTGGATTTTGAAAAGTTGTTTTTTTCAAAATTTTCCTTAATAAAGGTATCAGAAATTTATTTTATTTTGCTACTTGGGATAATTGCAATTCTTTTTTGTTTTTTATTTTTGGCTGTATCTTGTAAAATAAAGTGGTGGGGGTTGTTTGAATATTGCGACAAATGGGAGTGAACCAAAAATATACCCAATTTCTAGGTATTTTTCTTTTTTTAAATATATTTTAGGTTAGGAATGAGATATGGAGATGCGGTTTTCACAGGCTTGTTTGGCAATTATTTGACTATATTTCTCCAAAGAAAAAGTTATTGCGTTTTTTAAAGTGATATCGGAAGACGCCCTCTTGCGGTCAAGCAAGTATTTGCAATAATGTCTTATATAGTGTAAATTATAGACCGAAGAAAGCCCTTTTCAACGATTTCATTTTTATGAAAATCCGTTCAGCCGTTTAAAATTATCCCAAATATCAAAATAAAATAAATTTCTGATATCTTTATTAAGGAAAATTTTGAAAAAAACAACTTTTCAAAATCAAGATGGCGGATAATCCCCCTAGCGGCCATTTTAGAGACTTAAAAAGTATTTCCAGCATTTTCTTTTTGCCAATTTCGTCATAAGATTTTTTACCGCAAGTCTCTATGACAATTAGTTTCTGATATACAGCCGGTTACCTCTTCTGGTGGGACACCCGGTACACGTAATTCGTATAACACCAGGATTGTCGATTAAATCCGCTACGATTAACTTATTTCGTACCAACAAAGTGGATTAAAGAAATTAATAAACTCGACGGTCGATCGATCGGATTAAGTATACTTTCGATAAAAAAAAACCGTATCGATTTCATCGGGTAATCGCGATGCCCGTCCCGGCTGGCTTTGTTTTAAATGCGCTTAATTAATGCAGGTGATTACCGGAAAATGGCATCGCGACATGGTCGAACTCGTTTTTTCTTAATACCGCTAATTCAGTACTTAAACATAGCCGTATCGTTGCGATATTTCCGAGCGGACTTCATGAAAAAATATTTTTCCCTCAAATTCCAATTCCCTCGGGTAAAATGTAGGCGAATATGAGTAGAGTAGATTTAGAGTAGATTCAGAGTAGTGTAGAGTAGAGTAGGGGGTAGAGGGTATCAGAACATACTCAGAACAGACTAAGAACAAACTAAGGACAGACTCAGAACAGACTCAGAACAGACTCTCATTTGATAGTGACAAAGAAAGCTTCATACTCATTCATTGATTCAATCTTTCAATCTTTCAATCTTTCAATCTTTCAATCTTTCAATCTTTCAATCATTCAATCATTCAATCATTCAATCATTCAATCATTCAATCATTCAATCATTCAATCATTCAATCATTCAATCATTCAATCATTCAATCATTCAATCATTCAATCATTCAATCATTCAATCATTCAATCATTCAATCATTCAATCATTCAATCATTCAATCATTCAATCATTCAATCATTCAATCATTCAATCATTCAATCATTCAATCATTCAATCATTCAATCATTCAATCATTCAATCATTCAATCATTCAATCATTCAATCATTCAATCATTCAATCATTCAATCATTCAATCATTCAATCATTCAATCATTCAATCATTCAATCTTTCAATCATTCAATTTCAAGACTAACAACAAACTCAGGACAGACTCAGAACAGACTTAGAACAGATTCAGAATAGATTCAGAGCAGAGTAGAGTAGATAAATTTTAATAGGAATGTATCATTATGAGGAATTTGTGGAAAAGCATCCCCGTGTAAAACAAAAAGTGAGATTGTTACCGTTTCGATGTGAGTCACGCGTACTGAAATATTTTTCTATTTTTCGCCCGGCATCTCCTATAAAATAAAGTCGATGTTATTTTTATCGGCTATGTAATCCGCATATTTAACGAAAATAAAATATAAAAAATCGAGTTCTGGATATAAGACGAAAGGCTCGGATTTGTTTTCGCGATGAAACTGGCCAGTTCACACGGCACTCGAAAAAGTTCGAATGAATTTGCCAATTTTTCGTGTTTTTTCTTTTCGTATTTTCGGATTCATTGAGAAAATTCGACCGGCCGAATTTTTGATTGATTATAATGGAATATCAGAAGGTTTAAATAATGCGATATTTATAGTATAGTATAAATAGATTGATATTTTAGCGCAGGTAAAAAGAAAATTTAATCGTTGTTACACGATTATTTATTAATTTTATCACAACATCGAATGAATTTGCAATATTTACTCCGACAACTTTCGCACCTTATTGAACATCTGCTCTTGCGCGCGTATACAGGGTGTTTCACAACTTATCCGACAAATTCTAACCACATATGCACTGTTATGAAAGAAGTTAATTTCCCAAAAAAAATTGTAATAAAAGTCTTACAGAAATCGATATAATAAAATAATAGTTTAACAGTTCAATTACTTATACAAGATGTTCAAAATTGTTCCCATTTACAGCAATGCAAGCTTGGGTGCTTGTTTTTTTTTGTTAAAACCATTGTTTTGGGGCAACATTTGCTACAGTAAAGTATTAAGGCAAAATTATGAACGCAAAATGAAGTATTTATTTTTCAATTTTTTATTGAAACTCGGGTTTATAATTTTATTATTGTAGGACTTTTATTACATTTTTTTTGAGATCTCTCAAATAAGAGAGAGAAGTTGATTTCTCAAAAAAAATGTATTAAAAGTCCTACAATAATAAAATTATAAACCCGAGTTTCAATAAAAAATTGAAAAATAAATACTGCATTTTGCGTTCATAATTTTGCCTTAATACTTTACTGTAGCAAATGTTGCACCAAAACAATGGTTAAAACAAAAAAAATAAACACCCAACCTTGCATTGCAGTAAATGGGAACAATTTTGAACATCTTGTATAAGTAATTGAACTGCTAAACTATTATTTTATTATCTCGATTTCTGTAAGACTTTTATTACATTTTTTTTGGAAATTAACTTCTCTCGTAACAGTGCATATGTGGTTAAAATTTGTCGGACAAGTTGTGAAACACCCTGTATAACAATCTATTTAAGTCACCGAAATATTCCCAAAACCGATTTATCAATATTAGAAATAAATTTTATCGAAAAAAAAAACCGCGTTGTTCGAGTGATGGTTCGTTTGCAACGTGAGCCCGCGCCATTTTTGGTCCGAGCGAAACGATCTGGAAACCAGCGGGTCCGGGTCCGGTCTGATCTTTCGTGGATTTTTCGTTTTTCGCTGTACGACCGATGAGAAAAGGTAGAAGGAAAGCCGAAAAACGAAGCGGTGTATTTAACCGTCTACAGGGAACGTTCGTTTATATCCCAAACACCGGCGGGCCGTGTGCACAACTGGCTAATTTCGAGTTTCTCTCGACGAATTATTATCCTCTGCGATCGGGATGTCATGTTTTAGGAGACTCGGGATATTAGGTTTGTTCCTACAACAGTCAGAAATAGCCGGTGGTCGTCAGGAGTCTGCGCAGTAATAATTTAGGCGTTCCAACAAACTCCACAGACATCTCTGATTCTGATTTGGTTAACAATTTATTGTTCCAACAGTTCAAGGGACTGGTTTTGTGATAGTCGGGAAAATTTGCTGATAGTTCAGAGATTTAGAATCCGGCGCAAGCGCATTTTTAATTCGGGTTTAATTTGTATTTCTGAATATAGGTTAATTATTAGGTTATGTTGTTTGTTGTTTTTGTTTGATACTTGGTGAATATGTAATAAATGTAAAGACTGTTCCATCAAGAAATCGGAAATTTGATTAGACCATTCAATCTTAAACCGCGCATGCAAAATAGAAGAGTCAGAAACTTATTGGTTACCAGTGTTGTTAAGTAATTAATTACAAGTAATTGAAAAAGTAATTGAATTACTTTTATTGTAATTGAGGCGGTAATTAATTACAAGATCCTCAATTGTAATTCATTTGTAATTCAATTGCTCCTTTCGTTACAATTACAATTACATTTTACAATTACATTTCAATTACATTGGACACAAAAGTACTTATTTAATATTTTCAATACGTGGAAAGTTTAATTCCGATTGCAAATCCCTAAATAATTATTTAAAACTGACACCACAGCAAAGTAATTGTGATTGTAATTGTATTCGCAAATTTTGTAATTGTAATTGCAATTAATTACAATTTGCCAAAAGTAATTGAAATCGTAATTAATTACATATTATAAAGTAATTTTAACATCACTGTTGGTAACAAATCAGTGACTTTTTGTAGGAACAAACCTATTAATACTTTTACAATGATAACTACAAGAAGTTGCAATTTCTTAAACACCACAGGATGATTTGATATTTAAAGTAAAGTCTACACCGTTGGAAATTTTATTTCGCATAATAGGGAAATCAATGTTAAATTCTTAGCCGTCTGAAATCCAATCTACCAGTGTACATTTCAATAGAACGTCGCGATAAATTCTAATAAATTTAATTGTTCTACCGGACCGCACGTCGCGATTTGTAGAGGTACAAAGTTATTTGTGTTAAGTATGAGGTACAAAATTATTTAAAAACTAAATTTAATATTTTTTTTGAGGATATTTCAAAAAAATATGTGTATCGGTAGGTACAGTTTTGAAAGAGCAACAAATCTTGTTGAAATAAGGGAAAAAATAATTCAATTTTCTGCTAGAATTATACCTCAGCTCAGTAATATGAGATGACATCTGTATGACAGGTTTGGCTATTGTTTAGCAGAAAGCGGTGGACTATTTTCTAGAGTTCTTTTATTTTCTGTTTTAAAATAATCATTAAGTTTATTTTTGGAGTTTCGTTTTTATTATTTTCTTAGATTTTACTTTCTTTTTCAAGCCATTGTGGCAGAAAAACATATCTACATGATTCTATTTGATTTTTAATCTAACCAAATCAAATCGCGGTGTGAAGTCCAGTAGAAAAATTAAATTTATTAGAATTTATCGCGACGTTCTATTGAAATGTACACTGGTAGATTGGATTTCAGACGGCTAAGAATTTAACATTGATTTCCCTATTATGCGTGAATTATTTTCCAACGGTGTATATCTTTAAAATTTCTACAAAAAAAAATTTACTCAATATCTGAGTAAACCTCTTAAAAGCTTATTAAATACAGTAGTTTTTACTAAAAAAAAACTTATGAATTTTATAAAATTGTTGGCTTTACGACCATTAAAAGATACATATAATTTTGTTCATTTCATATTCATAACAATTAAATCTTTTATAACACCCGGTATTGATTTTTTTTTAACTCTGATAAATACTTTTTTTATAGCAAATTTAACGCACTTTTACGGTATATGATCAAAATTAATATGACTATACGAATAAATGTGATATTTCGGTCTTTTTGGAAAAAAAACAAAAAAAAAATTAAAATAATGAAATGTTAAATAAAAGAGAAACTATCGACTCTTCGAAATAGTATTATAGGACATTTTTTGTTCAAAATTACTTGTATAATCACCTCCTGAAGTTTGGCGGTTTTTATAGTCGACACCCTGTAGAATCAATTAAAACGATTAATAAACACCGTATAAACATTCTTTTTTTCGTAGCGTATGAATAGTACTTACACTGCCCACATGCGAGTTCCTTTTTTGCTTGAAATAACAATTAAAATGTACCATTGACATATTTAAACCGCGTAATCTATTTAGACGTGTTGTGAAAACATGGTTAAAAATTAATTTAAATTGATGATTTATGAAACGTGTAGAGAAACACTATTAATGGTTTTAGCCATAAACAAAAACAGTGTTATTCTAATTTTTATATCTCGTTTTCGATCTAAGGTTTAAGTGGTAATAGGTAATTAATTATTTATTTTTATCTTTATGCCATCTTACCAATAGTGTTCCTACTGAAAATGTCTATTCCATCATTCTGAGAAAATCTATTAATTTTCATTAGTTTTTTTTTATCTAAATTTATTGTCGCCGAAATCCATTAATCACTTTACCGCATAGATATTATAAACATTTCCGTTTAAAAATATATTTTTTTTATAAAAATCGTGCCAAAAATAATATAAATTCGTATCGATTGTAATTCCATTACTTCTCTCATCCTGTTTGTAGCACCTATATATAATTTTATTATCTAATCTATTTAAAAACGTTCGTTTCCGTTGAATAAAAAAGTCCACTTCGATGCAAATTTACACAACTAATACTATATCATTGATCGAGCTTGTAAATTTCGACGATTTTATGATCTATTAAGATTTTATTAACATTTACTGCGTGTCTCACATCAGGTTATCTCCACGTTTTTTTCCTCTGTAACATGCAGTGATGTTAAAATTACTTTATAATATGTAATTAATTACAATTACAATTACTTTTGGCAATTTGTAATTAATTGCAATTACAATTACAAAATTTGCGAATGTAATTACAATTACAATTAGAGTTACAATTACAATCACAATTACACTCACAATTACTTTGCTCTGGTGTCAGTTTTAAATAATTATTTAGGGATTTGCAATCGGAATTAAACTTTCCACGTATTGAAAATATTAAATAAGTACTTTTGTGTCCAATGTAATTGAAATGTAATTGTAAAATGTAAATGTAATTGTAACGAAAGGAGTAATTGAATTACAAATGAATTACAATTGAGGAGCTTGTAATTAATTACCGCCTCAATTACAATAAAAGTAATTCAATTACTTTTTCAATTACTTGTAATTAATTACTTAACAACACTGGTAACATGTTTTTAATTATCGCGTATTTCGTCGTCTGGACTCTAGGCGGTGCATTCATGCATGCGCCGATCGCGACAGGAAATTTTCAGGACCACATCAACATTTTCGTTTGCCAATGCAAACACGCCGAGCGAAAATATCAAGGGCGCCGATGCCCCAATTGATTGGTTGGCCCATTAACAAGCGACCTAATAATGAAAACCAAGCAAAAAAAACTTCTTCTCGGCTAATCAAAAAATAACAAATCCAACTCTACCGGCTGATGTACGACAAAAGCGGAACCTATTGGCAGTATTCCCGGGTTTATTATGTATCGAACATCATATGCACCTTTTTAATAACCGCCGGATTTTTTTTTTCGTTCGAAATTCCGCGCCAAAATGTGACATAACCGGATTATAGACATCAGCAAAAGTGGTATACCGGTCATGGGTTTGGTGCTTTCTATTCTCGTGACTTGTATCGGTGTAGTCGAATTGTTAACGCTTTATCGGAATATTTCGAGGCATTTGCGGGACCCGCCCCGTCGCGACGACCTTTCCGCGATAAGCGAAAGATACGCCAGGGAGTTGGGGGGAATCCCCAGGAGGCCCAACCAGGAGTTCCGCAAATACGCCGAGGAACCGCCGCCCAGTCTCAGGCTCAACAGCCACGAGGACGTGGAGATCGAGTTCTTCGAAGAGCTGCAGAAATCCCGGTCGCCCAGTCCTCGGAGGTTTTTGGTCACCGAGAAGGAGAGGAGCTCCTCGCCCAGGAGGTTCGTGGTGACTGAGGAACGGTCGAGCGAGGCTCTGAATGATTTACCGGAGTTTTTGATAGAGGAGGATAAATGCGCGGAAAAATCGGCGAGTAAACCGAGGTTGGTTTGGTTGGGTTTTGAGAGTGTTTTTTTGGAGGTTCTCAGTGGAGCAGAGAATCGCGAATTGAGAAACGATCTACGCAGATTTTTATTCGAAATTATTGTGCATTTAAATTCAGTTATTTGTCGAAATGGTGTCACGTCAATACATCGCGAGACAATTCATCGCGCGACAATTCATCGCCGACAATTTATCGCGCGACAATTCATCGCCGACAATTTATCGCTACGACAATTCATCGCTACGACAATTCATCGCTACGACAATTCATCGCTACGACAATTCATCGCTACGACAATTCATCGCTACGACAATTCATCGCTACGACAATTCATCGCTACGACAATTCATCGCTACGACAATTCATCGCGACGTTTTTTCTTATTTTAGCAGAAAATCTTAATAACTATTGATTATTTATTAAAGTTTATTATTTATTGATAATATCGCCCCTTAAAAGAATTATAACGTTCATAACCTTCAGAAAAATTAAGCAATTTTGAAAATAAAATTTACCGAATTCCTCCGATTTCAATATAGTTCATATTTAGATATTTAATTCCATTCCCAGAAAATATTAACAGAGAGGTTTTTGCTCTTGTTGATTCTGTAATCCCTATATCGAGAATTATTGGTTCAGCTGATTGGTTCTTTTTTCATATTTCCTGTAGATTACATATTGCTATTGGTCGAGCTATTACATATCTATTAAACACAGCCTGTAATTAGTCAAAATAATGTAAAAGTGGGGTAGAATTAATGCATTTATAAGATAGGTAATATTGAATTCTAAATAAGAACTTTATTGAAAAGTGTTTGATTTTCAAAATGACTCACTCGGCTTTTCTCAAGTTTATGAAGGTTATAATCCTTTCAATGGGTGATATTATCAATGAATAAACTTGTATAAGATTTTCTGCTAAAATAAGAAAAAAATTGTTGCGATGAATTGTCGTAGCGATGAATTATCGCAGCGATGAATTGTCGGCGACGAATTGTCACGCGATGAATTGTCTCGCGATGAATTGACGTATAGATTCGTCGAAATATCTTACCTCGTATTTGCATATTTTAAATGCGCCCTTTCCACGTTCTATTTTCACTCTTTTATTTCGAAAAACCAGCGTTCTTGTCGAGTCGATTTCCCGAAACTTTTTATTAGAAAACTTTTTTTGTTATTAAGCAAACGCGTTTAACTTGGTCTATTAAACTTTTCCGAATTTACTCCACCGGCACGTACACAATACATTTTTACTGAAAATCTGCGTCGATTTGAACATTGTATAATAGAAAGAATCTTTCGGAATTAGGTATATTTTGAAAGAAAGAGCAAACGAGGAATCGCCTATACCTTTACCGAGGCAATTTATCGTATCCGAAGACGTTATAAACACGATCGTTTTCAACGAGACCGATTTCGAGGTACCAGAAACCCCAGAAACCTCAGCTTCATCGTTTCTATTAATCGATACTCCATCGGTTCCGAGGAACAGCATCTGCAACGAACTCGTAGAGGAACCCTTGAGATCCTTCGAGCCCATCAGAGGCGAAAAAGTCGATGTTATACTCGAGAATACGAATTACAATACTACTCAGTATTGGACGAATAAAGTATTAGTGGTGCCCAGCGCGCCTTCCAGATCCAGGTCCGTTTCACCAGATAAACATTACACTGATGCACTAGAAGGACAAGATGTGGTTAGATTAAACGAGAAATACTTGGACGATTTGGATGGTGTTAGTAGAACTAAGAGTATCAGTAGAAGGAGTAGAAGGAGCATTAAACGAAGAAATGCTGGTAAGAATTGTTAAGTGGTGTCGTTGGGTGAGATTAGCAATTTTTGTTGTAGAAAAATCTCTGAATTCCGTTGATAAAACGAGTGAAATTTTGAAGAATGCGGCCGAAGAGTTGGAAAAGGTGTCTTCACGTGATGAATTACAACCGGGTACTAGTTCGTCCGGTTCAAAAACAGGAGAACCTTTTTGGGTAAAATAAACTTAGAACTATGAATGAAGAGACTTGGTTTTAAAGTTTTAGTAGAATTTTAGTTTGTTTCGCATAATTTTTTTTGTAGCGTGTTTAGAATCACAAAATATAAAAACCTCAAACATTCATTAACAAACAAGTTTTTTTTGTTGTTTTCCCAATAACGCTTATTTAATCAGTTTGAAGCATAAATCTAGCAATGTTTTAAAAAAAATACTTATTTATTCCTCGCAGTGTTGTTAAGTAATTAATTACAAGTAATTGAAAAAGTAATTGAATTACTTTTATTGTAATTGAGGCGGTAATTAATTACAAGATCCTCAATTGTAATTCATTTGTAATTCAATTACTCCTTTCGTTACAATTACAATTACATTTTACAATTACATTTCAATTACATTGGACACAAAAGTACTTATTTAATATTTTCAATACGTGGAAAGTTTAATTCCGATTGCAAATCCCTAAATAATTATTTAAAACTGACACCAAAGCAAAGTAATTGTGATTGTAATTGTAATTGTAATTGTAACTTTAATTGTAATTGTAATTACATTCGCAAATTTTGTAATTGTAATTGCAATTAATTACAATTTGCCAAAAGTAATTGTAATTGTAATTAATTACATATTATAAAGTAATTTTAACATCACTGATTCCTCGAATAATCCTTCCAATTTGCGCCAGAATTGACGCAGTAAAATCTTATTTATCGTAAACATCAACGTACTCATTTGTAATAATTGTTTTGTACCACATTTCTGTGTATAAAGGATTACACGAATATTAAACAGTTCGGTTGCCAAAAATCGAATTGGGAAAAAAAATGTTTAACGGTAAAGTGCATGTGTCCGATTGGCAGCTGTCCCGCTTCAGAATGTCCGCTCGTCCTCGAATTTTCTGACTATTTGAAACTGTGTCAAGTCGCGCGTCCTATTTATATCGACCCCAGACAATATTTATCTGTTTATTTCATAATTCGCGATAATCTCATAAGCGAATTAACGACCAATTGAAACGTTGAGAGCCGAATATCCTTCCAACTCGATTTCTTAATTTCTACTATTTATAGTATACTATACTACTATACAGTGCATTTCTTTAATGTCCCCCCCTTTTATTTTTTGAACGGATCAACTTAGAAAATTGAAATTTAGGATAACAAAACTAATGCATGATTACTATATTTTGGAGTATGATTGACAGATGAAAATTTCAAGATGGCGACTGGGCGCCATCTTGGGAAATACATTTAAATGGAAAGGGGGGTCTTGTGATACATCATTTTGAAGCTCCTGACAAATACTGTACAACCCTGGAATATAAAGTCAATATCTGCACCCATTTCAAAATGGCGGAACATTTAATAATTACCTGAATACAAACAAATTAATATCAATTTTTCTAGAAATATTTGTTTTTCTATGCCAAATAGCAATCCCAACAAACCGATAAGGTTTGACAGGTTATTTTTGGTTATTAAATGTCCGCCATTTTGTAGCAGGTGCGGATATTGACTTTATATTCCAGGGTTGTACAGTATTTGTCAGGAGCTTCAAAATGATGTATCACAAGACCCCCCTTTCCATTTAAATTTATTTCTCAAGATGGCGCCCAGTCGCCATCTTGAAATTTTCATCTGTCAATTTTACTCCAAAATATATTAATCATGCATTAGTTTTGTTATCCTAAATTTCAATTTTCTAAGTTGATCCGTTCAAAAAATAAAAGGGGGGACAGTGCATTAAAGAAATGCACTGTATATAAATGCATAATGTTTGCTGTAATTTTATGGCATGTTGCACTGAGCGGGTGAATAATTTCATTGTCGTTTTTTTTTCGTAAGAAGGCGATCGTTTTTCACTGTCAATTACTCCTCGATCGGCGATTTTCCATCTTTCAGAAATCGAAATTTACGAGCGAAATCTTCTAGTGGATAAATAACCCGGTCGTTTTCGTATCAGAGGCGGCTTAAAGAATGTGTTTGTGGATTCTGTTGAGCATCAAAATCCAATGAGAATTTAGAGTAATTTATTGTAGACTATAAATTATTTCGAATGTAATGAATTAGGATTGACGAGGATTTACCACTTCTAATTAGGTGGATTAAATTGTTTGTATTAACACAATTTCTCATAATTTTATATAGCAAATTATTCCCAATAGGTCAATAGGCAGTGTTGTTAAGTAATTAATTACAAGTAATTGAAAAAGTAATTGAATTACTTAATTAATATTAATTAAGTAATTACAAGATCCTCAATTGTAATTTATTTGTAATTCAATTACTCCTTTCGTTACAATTACAATTACTTTTTACAATTACATTTCAATTACATTGGACACAAAAATACTTATTTAATATTTTCAATACGTGGAAAGTTTAATTCCGATTGCAAATCCCTAAATAATTATTTAAAACTGACACCAAAGCAAAGTAATTGTGATTGTAATTGTAATTGTAACTTTAATTGTAATTGTAATTACATTAGCAAATTTTGTAATTGTAATTGCAATTAATTACAAATTGCCAAAAGTAATTGTAATTGTAATTAATTACATATTATAAAGTAATTTTAACATCACTGTCAATAGGTTTACCCTTCAAATTTATATTAGAGCTTATATACAAACGAGAGTTCTAATTATAACGAGCAGTGTATAATAAAAATATTAATATGATAATAGATGCAATATACTATTATTTTGCGATGAATTTGGATACGTTTTTTAACATAATTTGAAGGTTGTAAAAATTAAAATACACCCACAAATGTGAATATTTAATTTTGACAAATTTCTTCAGAGGCGTAAATTTATTCACATTTCGGGATTTGAAATTAAATAATTACCCCGTCAATTTCGCGCGATTTTGTTTACGAATCCATTTGAGTAATCGAATGTGATGCAATTGCCAGAAATGAATGCATTATTAAAAGTAATTGCGAGGAAAACACTGTTAATTTCATAATACGACTAAAAATATCGCGCAAATATTTGAAATTTATATCGTATAAGAAAAAGCAAAGAGCAGTCGGTATACATCTTCCAGATTTGATGGAATGGTGAATCACAAATCACCAGATAAACGTGTAAAAATAAACTTGTAAATTCGATATTTTTGTTTCGCGATTTTCCCATCAGTGAAGTGCACTAGAAACTACTAGAAAAAACGCTTTTCTACGCCTCTTTAACTCGAAATTATTAGTTTTTGAGTTGTGTTATTGTTGTAGAAAGGTTGCTTAACAAGAATAAATAGTACAAGTTGTTGTTCGAATGATTTTTGTGATATTATTTATCGTCGATTGCACGCCACTGGGGATCATCAACCCACCTCTCGCTTAATACCCGAGCAGAAAGTGCGCCCATTTAACAAAATCTCGAACTCCAGTCCAACATTATTGCATTGCACCCGACACCAAGACGTTTTCGGTTTTCTAAAAATACCCAAAATGTAAAACCGGGGCCGCATTTTACAAGTTTTAAGCGAGATTATTCAGTCGCTACAATCCTTCAGCACGCCGCGTTTGTGTCCCTTTTTTCCATTTCCAACCCCCGTTCGAAGCAGATCCCGAAAGCTTATCCGAAATGGGCGACGTCGAAGTAAGCTCGAACTTCACCATCACCGAAAAGAAGACGAAAAAAGTGAAAAAAACCACGAAACAGAGACGCGGTAGCAATGAACAAACCGAGGTCACCATTCAGGAGATGAAGAATGGCAATCAGGGGTATGTGATGGCATTTGAACGACCGAAACGTCGGTTATAATGACAGTGGAATTGACCAAAAAAAAAAAACGCAGTTTGACACCTGTTTTATTTTTTTTTACCTACGAAAATTGTCTAGTGGCAAAGTGGTAGTGTCTGTATGATGGAAATCTGATATGGCTTTAACATGTTTGGTTTATTCAGTGTTTGTTTTCGATCAAAACATCACCTATTTTACATTAGTAGATACAACTAAAAAATTACACTTCTTTTCTTCGAAATTTGAGAACATTTTAATTATACAGGGTGGCACATTAGTAGTAACTTTAGGTATAGGGAATGGTTATTAAGAATGAAAGTACTTCAAAAATACTTCCTGTTAACGATATAAAATATAGGGTGATCCATTTAAATTAACAGAGAAAATGTTACTTTTGCGTTTGGATCCACCCTGTAAGCAGTATGATTAAAATTGGCAAAAAATATTCATTTTGTACATTTTCAGGATATTTGCAATGTTGTGAAACCTGAAATTTATTTTCAATTCAATCCATTTAGTTTCTACAGAGTGGTAAACTTAGTACGATTTTCGTGGAAAAGTTGTCATAACTTTTAAACCACTCAGTATAACGTTATACAAAATTATATTTTTGGAAAGCTGAAAACGGGCTAAATTCAATTTATAAATAAAAAACAGGGTGTTCCATTTAAAAAAGTATAAGTTTGATCTACTACGGAAAAACGGGACACTCTGTATGAATGTAACTAATTTTAAAATGTGCAGTTTAAAAAGATCTACAACTTTTGTAATGACGTTTTTTTGATATCTTCTACAATAACAGATATATTGAGATTTTCCATACTAATGTGCCACCCTGTATACACGTTTATTTGGTCCGTTACAATTACGCAAATAGAGCAATTGGATAGTAAAGTAATTTATTGTTTCGTGTTTATGAATCCAAAATTAAACGTTTATGTCTTTAAGCGCTAAATTCCTGAAGTTTCACCTGACGAAAGCTACAACAGGAGAAAATTCCTGTTGCATTAACGTTTAGTTTACACTAAAATTATTTACACAACCGAATTATTGTGGAGATAATTTTCTAAAATGCATCATCATTAACAGGTGCATTTTTATAAGTCAGCTCGGCATCTCTGGCATATTTATTTCTGTATTACGTGACACATATCAGTGTCGAAAATAATCTCTAATAAAATTCGAGCGGGAATTATTGCGCAAATCGGTTGCATTTTGCGAATTCCATCGGAAATTCAGGTGTAAATTTTGAACACTAATACATTTATATACAGGCACTACCGATTTTGACACTTATTGAAATCATCTTCAACAACATGCCGAAGACATTTGCCATTACATACCCCTATCTTACAAAAGGTACTATACAAATTTTAAACTGATGCTTCATATACCTTCTTATTACTAACTTTTTATTATACAGGGTGTTTCACAACTTATCCGACAAATTTTAACCACATTTGCACTGTTACGAGAGAAGTTAATTTCCCAAAAAAAATGTAATAAAAGTCTTACAGAAATCGAGATAATAAAATAATAGTTTAGCAGTTCAATTACTTATATACTTATTACTATACACGATGTTCAAAATTGTTCCCATTTACAGCAATGCAAGCTTGGGTGAATGTTTTTTTTTGTTTTAACTATTGTTTTGGTGCAATATTTGCTACAGTAAAGTATTAAGGCAAAATTATAAACGCAAAATGCGGTATTTATTGTTCAATTTTTTATTGAAACTCGGGTTTATAATTTTATTTCTGTAGGACTTTTATTACATTTTTTTTGAGAAATCAACTTCTCTCTCTTTGAGAAATCTCAAAAAAAATTTAATAAAAGTCCTACAGAAATAAAATTATAAACTCGAGTTTCAATAAAAAATTGAAAAATAAATACTGCATTTTACGTTCATAATTTTGCCTTAATACTTTACTGTAGCAAATGTTGCACCAAAATAATGGTTAAAACAAAAAAAAACAAGCACCCAAGCTTGCATTGCAGTAAATGGGAACAATTTTGAACATCTTGTATAAGTAATTGAACTGTTAAACTATTATTTTATTATCTCGATTTCTGTAAGACTTTTATTACAATTTTTTTTGGCAAATTAACTTCTCTCGTAACAGTTCATATGTGGTTAAAATTTGTCGGATAAGTTGTGAAACACCCTGTAGTGTGAGATTTTTGTAACTAATCAAGAATGTAGTTGGGTTTTTTTTGCATTCCCCGAATTAATGAAATTCCCTCTTTATATTGGTATGCTGTAAGATACTTCTTCCAAAAATATGTATAGATATTTTTATTTATTATACGATGAGTAGTCAATTTAACTCGCCAAAAGGTCAAAAAATAAAGTCATCAGTACCACTTAAAACGAGAGTAATTTAGTATTATTAAAATCCCGTGCAGGTTCCATTATATCTAATAGTAATGGACAGATGTAGGTAGGATTTAAATGAATAAAATCGGCGAATTAGCCTCTTACGTAATGGGAAAATCGTAAACAATCCGCGAACGAATCCTATCTGTTGCGAATTCGCTTCAGAAATTGTATCAAAATAATTGAATATTTTGGCAGGCCGTACCGTTGTAAATCTATAAATAACTTTTCTATTCGGTTCAAGTGTCTCTGGAATACATTTCGTTTTATTCAAGTTATCTCTAAAGCTTCCAATGGAAAGAAAATCGCGCTGTATTTACCCAAAACGATTTCCGAAGATAATCTGTTTTATTCAACGTTTCGTCTGCAGGAATTCTACTTTTACGAACTGTCTATACTCTATTTCCATAATAGTAGGCACTAAATTCACAGAAATGATTGAGATAATGGGTCTTTCCCAGTGGCGTACGGAAAATATCGTAGGCTACAAGTGTGTTTGACGGGAAAATCAGCAGGAGACTAATAATTAGAAGAGCAAGGATTATGTAATAAATAAGAAAAGCGACAATATTTCCGAGAATTTAGTGCCTACTATTTTGGAAATAAAGTATACACTGTGTTATTTATAAGCGACATAGGGATTCCTGTACAAATGTGTCAAAAGCAAGCTAACTTTTTTACCAAATAACGTTCGTAAAAAATAATGACAGATTTGAAAAGATCGTAAAAAAATATGTCGAAATGGACATTAAATTTTCTTAAATTCGTTCTGGTTTAATAAAAAAATGTATAATTAAGTTGAAAAAGTCATACGCCATAAATAATTCCTTTTTATAACACTATCTAATTTGTTGCAAAAGGAGTGGAGCTAACAGAGATTGTTAACGCTCTGCAATTTGAAAAATTAATCTTAAAGTAATGTGGTTCAAACCGCCCTTGGGCCAAAGTTTTTTTGTTTTTTTTAATGTTTTTGTCTAAAAAAATGTTAAATAAAAGTATTTAAAATAAGACACGCTTAATTGGGATAAAAATTTATTTTTATTTAATTAAATATTCAATTTTTTATTGGGTTTCCTAAAAAATAAGGTTGCTGAATATCAACCAAAGACAGAAGAGGAATTGAAAAATATTATTACTAACGAATGTCAAAAAATTAGTAGAACTAGAATAATGATTAGTAGAACTAATCGTAATTAATAATGTACGGCGGAACTTTTATCATCGTTTGGGACTGTTTAGCAGAAAATGGAAAACAATTTGAACATTTAATTAAATAAAAATAAATTTATATTCTAAATAAGCTTGTCTTATTTTAAATACTTTTATTTAACATTTTTTTAGACAAAAACATTAAAAAAACCAAAAAAAACTTTGGCCCAAGCGCGGTTTGAACCACATTACTTTAAGATTAATTTTTCAAATTGCAGAGCGTTAACAATCTCTGTTAGCTCCACTCCTTTTGCAACAAATTAGATAGTGTTATAAAAAGGAATTATTTATGCCGTATGACTTTTTCAACTTAATTATACATTTTTTTAATAAACCAGAACGAATTTAAGAAAATTTAATGTCCATTTCGACATATTTTTTGACGATCTTTTCAAATCTGTCATTATTTTTTATGAACGTTATTTAGTAAAAAAGTTAGCTTGCTTTTGACACATTTGTACAGGAATCCCTATGTCGCATCTTATAAATAACACAGTGTATACAGTGTGTCCACGGATGGGGTTGCCTATAAGAGAAAAATTTTTATTATTCGTTTTACGACAAAAAGTCATTGTTTAAAAAAATTTTTGCTTCTTTTAAAAATGAGAATAATATTGAAAAATCTTAGATGGATCTGCAGGGTGTTGCCAAACTAAGAAAACATGAAAATACCTCAAGAGAGAAGTACCATTATTTTTTATTTTACGCAAAATTTTTATAAAAGAAAGTTGTTTATAATCTAAAATAAAGCCAGAATACAAATTTTCAAATTAAAATTCCAATTTTGTGTGTCCACGGATGGAGTTGACCAGAGGAGAAAATGATTATTAATTTTTCGACCAAAAGTATTTTTTTATAAAAAAAAAAACTTTCTTGGGAAAATGGGATTCACATACCTATATAACATTAGATAAGACGTACAGGATGTTAGTAGAAAGAATTTTTATTATCTTACATAAAGAAAGAATTTAATTATTATCTTACATTATTATTTACAAAAAAAATGTTTTTAATCCAAAGTAAAGCCTAAACACAAATTTTCAAATAAAAAATACAATTTTTACATTATTAATTTATTTTAATTTACTTTGGATTAAAAGCATTTTTTTGTAAATAATAATGTATGATAATAAATAAATTCTTTCTTTATGTAAGATAATAAAAATTCTTTCTACTAACATCCTGTACGTCTTATCTAATGTTTTGATATGTGAATCTCAATTTTTCGACAAGTTAATTTCCTTATCTGGTCAACTTTATCTAGGGACACACAAAATTTGAATTTAAGTTTGCAAATTTGTATTCTGGCTTTATTTTAGATTATAAACAACTTTCTTTCATAAAAATTTTGTGTAAAATAAAAAATAATGGTACTTCTCTCTTGAGGTATTTTCATGTTTTATTAATTTGACAACATCCTGTAGATCCAATCTAAGATTTTTCAGTGTTATTCTCATTTTTAAAAGAAGCAAAAGTTTTTATAAACAATGACTATTTGTCGTAAAATGAATAATAAAAATGTTTCTCCTATAGGCAACCCCATCCGTGGACACACTGTATTTACCCAAAACGATCTCCGAAGATAATCTGTTGTATTCGACGTTTCGTCTGCAGGAATTCTACTTTTACAAACTGTCTATACGTTTTGTTATGAAATCCGAAATCCTTTATCAATTTCCATTTGGGATTATTCGCGACCGATGAGGTGAAAAAATATCACTAATATTAAAATAGAATCATGTAGATATGTCTTTTTGCCACAATGGCTTGAAAAAGAAAGTAAAATCTAAGAAAATAATAAAAAGGAAACTCCAAAAATAAACTTAAAGATAATTTTAAAACAGGCCTTTAAACGGGAACAAAGCGGCCTCAGCCAGCTCCCATACACAAATTTGCCACAAAATTGTAATACACTACACCCCCTGAAAAGGAAGTAAATTCCTATAACAGGGTTCATTAGAATAAAACAACACCCACATTTATGTTTATACGTTATAAATAAAAGATTTTTAAATTTGAATTTGAATTTGACCGATGAGGTGTTCAAATTTCAAACGCTCCCTTTCTGTTTTAGTTGATTTTCAGTGGAGAATACACAAAAGCCATGAACAAGGACTGGCACGGCCAGCATTTCTGCTGCTGGCAATGCGACGAGAGCCTCACCGGCCAACGGTACGTGCTCAGAGACGAGCATCCTTACTGCGTTTCCTGCTACGAGTCGGTGTTCGCCAATGCTTGCGAGAAATGCAGCAGGATCATCGGCATCGATTCTAAGGTACCAATATTTCCTCGAGCGATTTCGCTGCAGTTTAACTCAGTGTTGTTAAGTAATTGATTACAAGTAATTGAAAAAGTAATTGAATTACTACATTACTAGAAGGGTTATTTCAAGAAGAATTGGACGTAGAATAGTTAGGATTTGAAAGGGTTATTTTGGACGTAAAATAGTTAGATTTAGAAGGGTTATTTCAGAAGAATTAGACGTAGAATAGTTAGATTTGAAAGGGTTATTTCAGAAGTATTAGACGTAGAATAGTTAGATTTAAAAGGGTTATTTCAGAAGAATTAGACGTAGAAAAGTTAGGATTAGAAAGGGTTATTTCGGACGTTGACTGGCTAGATTTAGAAATGTTATTTTAGAAGGATTGGACGTAGAATAGTTAGGATTAAAAGGTTTATTTCAGATGTAGAATAGTTAGATTTAGAAGGGTTATTTCAGAAGAATTAGACGTGGAATAGTAGAAAGGGTTATTTCGGACGTTGAATAGTTAGATTTATAATGGTTGAAGGGGTTATTTCAATTGTACAATAGTTAGATTTAGAAAGGTTATTTCACGAATATTTGGACGTTGAATACATCGTAATTGAGGCGGTAATTAATTACAAGCTCCTCAATTGTAATTCATTTGTAATTCAATTACTCCTTTCGTTACAATTACAATTACATTTTACAATTACATTGGACACAAAAGTACTTATTTAATATTTTCAATACGTGGAAAGTTTAATTCCGATTGCAAATCCCTAAATAATTATTTAAAACAGACACCAAAGCAAAGTAATTGTGAGTGTAATTGTAATTGTATCTTTAATTGTAATTGTAATTACATTCGCAAATTTTGTAATTGTAATTGCAATTAATTACAAATTGCCAAAAGTAATTGTAATTGTAATTAATTACATACAGGGTGGCACATTAGTATGGAAAAGCTAAATATATCTGTTATTATAGAAGGTATCAAAAAAACTTCATTACAAAAGTTGTAGATCTTTTAAAGCGGCATATTTTAAAATTACTTACATTTATACAGAGTGTCCCGTTTTTCCGTAGTAGATCAAACTTATACTTTTTTAAATGGAACAACCTGTTTTTTATTTAAAAATTGAATTTAGCTCGTTTTCAGCTTTCCAAAAATATAATTTTGTATAACGTTATACTGAGTGGTTTAAAAGTTATGACCATTTTTCCACGAAAATCGTACTAAGTTTACCACTCTGTAGAAACTAAATGGATTGAATTGAAAATAAATTTTAGGTTTCACAACATTGCAAATATCCTGAAAATGAATTTTTTTTTTAATTGAAATATCTCGAAAAGTTTTAACTTTAGGTATAGGGAATGGTTATTAAGAATGAAAGTACTTCAAAAATATTTCCTGTAAACGATATAAAATATAGGGTGATCCATTTAAATTAACAGAGAAAATGTTACATTTGCGTTTGGATCCACCCTGTAAGCAGTATGATTAAAATTGACAAAAAATATTCATTTTGTACATTTTCAGGATATTTGCAATGTTGTAAAACCTGAAATTTATTTTCAATTCAATCCATTTAGTTTCTACAGAGTGGTAAACTTAGTACGATTTTCGTGGAAAACTAGTCATAACTTTTAAACAACTCAGTATAACGTTATACAAAATTATATTTTTGGAAAGCTGAAAACGAACTTAATTCAATTTTTAAATAAAAAACAGGGTATTCCATTTAAAAAAGTATAAGTTTGATCTACTACGGAAAAACGGGACACACTGTATAAATGTAACTAATTTTAAAATATGCAGTTTAAAAAGATCTACAACCTTTTACTGAAGTTTTTTTGATATCTTCTACAATAACAGATATATTGAGCTTTTCCACACTAATTTGCCACCCTGTATTATAAAGTAATTTTAACATCACTGAGTTTAACGAGTTTAACGATTTTCGTATTTCGCAGGATTTGTCGTACAAAGACAAGCATTGGCACGAGGCGTGCTTCCTGTGCACCACCTGCGGAGAGTCCTTGGTAGACAAGCAATTCGGCTCGAAAGGCGACAGGATTTACTGCGGGAATTGCTACGATCAACAATTCGCTTCCAGGTGTGATGGATGCCACGAAATCTTCCGAGCTGGTATGTATTTTCGCATTCACATACTGTTTTTCGAATTAATTTGATGGTAATATTACTCTTATGGTAATCATACATCATAATTTAGTGCTATTTTAGTGCTAATTTAGTGCCCACTTTCTAATTTTAGTGCTCGTCTGGTTGAGCAGAAAATTGCGATTGAAAATGGCGGTGCTAAGTTTATAAAGCTAGCACCCCCACATTTAAATATTTAAACAAAATTAATAAATAATATATCGGAATTTAGTGCTATTTTAGTGCTTTCGAATGCACTACTCAGAATTTAATTTAAGGTAATTAATCTTAAAGATATTTGATAAAAACGTATTGAAGTCAATATAGAAACAGATAAACATAGAAAAAATACATTTAAACATAGTAATAGGGAAACGATTTTGATCTCTAATTTTTCAATGATTTTAGTGCTTTTAAAGTAGTTAATGTCAGATTTTAGTGCTCAACCCTTAAACCCAAAAAATTATATTTTTACCATTTTGTAGTCTGACCTCCAAGAGTAAAAATGTGATTTTTTGGGTTTAAGGGTTGATCACTAAAATCTAACTTAAGCTATCTTAAAAGCACTAAAATGAACAAAGAATATAAAAAAAAACATTTTCCTATCTATATTTTTAATGATACTTTATTCTTGGATGTAAGACTATACAAAATAGTAAAAATGTGATTTTTTTTGGGTTTAAGGGCTGATCACTAAAATCTGACATTAACTACTTTAAAAGCACTAAAATCATTGAAAAATTAGAGATCAAAATCGTTTTCCTATTACTATGTTTAAATTTATTTTTTCTATGTGTATTTGTTTTTCTATTGACTTCAATACGTTTTTATCAAATATCTTTAAGATTAATTACCTTAAATGAAATTCTGAGTAGTGCATTCGAAAGCACTAAAATAGCACTAAATTCCGATATATTATTTATTAATTTTGTTTAAATATTTAAATGTGGGGATGCTAGCTTTATAAACTTAGCACCGCCATTTTCAATCGCAATTTTCTGCTCAACCAGACGAGCACTAAAATTAGGAAGTGGGCACTAAATTAGCACTAAAATAGCACTAAATTATGATGTATGATTTTTTATTTTTTTTGATGGTGGGGGTTATTACTCGAGCGTGTTCCGAATGATCGTATTTCAGAAATATCGGGTTGTTTGGTTTGGTTTATGTCCGATGAATCGACGCCTTCGGGCCGGTATGGTTGATTGAATTAGAAGGATTGAAGGTGGGCTATTTATTTTTAGTATTTCACGCTCTCGGTTAATTAAATATCGAACCCTTTTTTTCGAATTCGATGAAATTTACGGCGGATCGTCTAGAACGAGGTGTCGCCGCGCCCGTGCGCTTGTTACTCGAATTAGTTTGAAAAATCGTTCATGAGTTGATAATTTATATATTTACGCGATTATTGAAAATATTATTAGGTATTACGTAAGGTTTGCATCACGTTTTTACGCGTTGAATTATCAACGCGGAGTCTTCGAATGTGTTATTCGCGATTGAATTTTAGTGTAATAGTCTGGGTTGTTGAAAAATTGCATAATATACTGAGTGACAAAAGTAAAAGAACACCAAGAAGCAAATTTTATTTTTCATTCAAACTGTAGAGAGTGTGTACAGCACCACGGTGGTGTAACACATTATTAATTTTTTTTTAAGTTTCGTTGTTAATTTGATGAATTAATTTTAATCATTTGTTTATTTTTCTCTTATACATGTAACTAGAATAAATGGTTAAATTTCAACAACTATTTTTTTGGTGTTCTTTTACTTTTGTCACTCAGTATATATTATTGACTCGTTTGTATAGTTAAACGACTATTTTAGTGACTCGATTCTTCTCATAAACGACTCTTTTTAGAAAGCAAATCGACTCGATTGGTCAGATAAATGACTCTTTTATGTAAGATAGTTCACCCTATTTCGTGCTTAACTTATTCTCTTGTCCGAATGACTCTCTATTAAATATAAACTGCTCCACAAAAGTTAAGGAAGTTCGCAAATTTTGCGATAATTTTAAAAGTTACAGACTGTTTGATCACCAAATTTTCGAATATGCGAAATTAAATGTTTTTTCTCATATCCGAGTGGATTTTTTTGTCCCTACCTTTACAAGTCGTACTAAAATTTGGCAATCAAAAAACCTGCAACTTTTAAATTAATCTCAATATTTGTGAACTTCCTTAACTTTTGTGGAGCAGTATATTATTGACTCATTTGGATAGTTAAACGACTATTTTAGTGACTAGACTATTTTAGTGAATTGTTTCTTCTCATAAACGACTCTTTTAGAATGCAAATCGACTCGATTGGTCAGATAAATGCCTCTCTTAAGTTAGATAGTTCACCCTATTTCGTGGTTAACTTATTCTCTTGTCCAAATGACTCTCTTTTAAATATACTGAGTGACAAAAGTAAAAGAACACCAAGAAGCAAATTTTATTTTTCATTCAAACTGTAGAGAGTGTGTACAGCACCACGGTGGTGTAACACATTATTAATTTTTTTTGAAGTTTTGTTGTTAATTTGATGAATTAATTTTAATCATTTGTTTATTTTTCTCTTATACATGTAACTAGAATAAATGGTTAAATTTCATCAACTATTTTTTGGTGTTCTTTTACTTTTGTCACTCAGTATATATTATTGACTCGTTTGTATAGTTAAACGACTATTTTAGTGAATCGATTCTTTTCATAAACGACTCTTTTAGAAAGAAAATCGACCCGATTGGTCAGATAAATGACTCTCTTAAGTTAGATAGTTCACCCTATTTCGTGCTTAACTTATTCTCTTATTCAAATGACTCTCTTTTTTAAATATATTATTGACTCGTTTCGATAGGTAAACGACTATTTTAGTGACTCGATTCTCCTCATAAACGACTCTTTTAAAAAGCAAATCGACTCGATTGGTTAGATAAATGACTCTCTTATGTAAGATAGTTCACCCTATTTCGTGCTTAACTTATTCTCTTATTCAAATGACTCTCTATTAAATATATTATTGACTCGTTTGTATATTTAAACGACTATTTTAGTGAATCGATTCTCCTCATAAACGACTCTTTTTAGAATGCAAATCGACTCGATTGGTCAGATAAATGACTCTCTTAAGTTAGATAGTTCAACCTATTTCGTGCTTAACTTATTCTCTTGTCCAAATGACTCTTTTAAATATACTGAGTGACAAAAGTAAAAGAACACCAAGAAGCAAATTTTATTTTTCATTCAAACTGTAGAGAGTGTGTACAGCACCACGGTGGTGCAACACATTATCAATTTTTTTTAAGTTTTGTTGTTAATTTGATGAATTAATTTTAATCATTGGTTTATTTTTCTCTTATACATGTAACTACACCTTTTCCAGTTGTATTTCAGAAAGCGTCAATTGAATTTAAGAATAGTCACTTATATTTCGGAAAGTATCTGTTGTATCTCAGAATAGTCAATTTGATTTCTGAAATCATCAATTGAATTTCAGAATAGTCAATTGTATTTAAGAAATTATCATTTGTGTTTCGGAAAGTTCGTATTTCGGAAACCGTCAAAAGGATTTCATTATTATTTCACAATTATTATTACAATTATTAACAAAGAAGAAAAACTAAGTCTACTCCACAATTTATATTATTTTTTCGGACTTGAAACAACTTCTCTCCGGAATTGAAATATTTTTTTCTGAAATCAAAATTATTCTTCTGAAATTGATATATCTGAAATAAACCAGACGCTTTCTGAAATACAGTTGGAAATGGTGTAGAATAAATGGTTAAATTTCAACAACTATTTTTTGGTGTTCTTTTACTTTTGTCACTCAGTATATTTTTACGATTCTTTCGGAAAAAAGTTCCGAGCGTGGGATTCGAATTCTAAACGAAAATCGAACGAGCTTATAAAATAGTGGAAGAGTCATTCCTGCGAAGCCGATGAATAAAATGTATGCCACGACCGGTTACCCTAAATGGTTAATTGTCTTTAAAATTCTTATTGTGGATTCGCATAAGTGAGATTTAACCGTTCGACATCTACGATATTGAAAATTTACCTGCATAAATAATAACCATACTTTCTTGGAAAACCAATTTCCGGGGTATTGATTAATTTATCGCATTGTATTTTCGAGTCCTCCTATTCTCGACCTCCGTTTATATTTTCCGTATTTGGTAAAAATAAATTATCCTGCGATCGGTAATGTCACATATTCTCGAACAGATGGCTTTTTTTTTTTTTGGACCAAATGGAAATGAATTTAAACGTTCTTTGCGGTTGATACTTTTCGACGAATTAATTGGGGAATTTAATGATGCAGAGGAAGTGGAGGTGGTTTGGGTAAATATACGTTTTTGTTTTGAAAGGTTTCGTACCTTGAGACTTGTAATTGTTGTTTTTTTCAAGCGACCTTGCCAAGATTTGCCTGATTTGCGAGTGTAAAAATGCTAGATGATTGAAAGAAATTCGGAAAGTTTTAGTATAGTTTTTTTTGTAATTTTTATTGATAGTTAATTTATACCGGTTAGACTGTATATGGTTGTAGAAGGTTGAGGATTATTAGATAGATTATCGTGTGTTTTTTTTGAAGTTGGTTAAAATTAGGCATGTTATTAAACTCGTTTTTTCTACGTTTTAATGAATAAATAATTATGGTGATTACTAGAATAGTTGTTAAAAAATAATCTATTAATTCCGATAAATGTGTATACAAAAAAACTACCACATATTTATGAATAATATACTATCACCTAAAAAGTTTTTCAACAAGTTTCTTCTTAATTTGTAATTTTTTTTGCAATTAACTACCACAAACTAGAATGCAACAATCGAAATTCGCACGTTAAAAGTAATAATAGCATAGAGATTAACTCTTGCGAAGATTGAGATCATCGTTATTTTTGGCAGATGTGTGTGGAAGCGTTTAAAAACAAATTAGTATGGGTAAATAAAATGTATGTATCCGAATAAAAGGTAGTAGGTGTTGTGTACAGTGTA